GACCAAAGACCTCATAAAGTGAAGATAAGGAGATTTATCAAGCTATTAAGCAAGGTTGTAACTTTCTTACCAAAAAATGAAGAGAATGAGAAGTTGCTTCTGGATCTACAATATTCTCCTAGAACCCTCTAGCTTCTTGTTTTTCTACAAGCTTCAAATCACACAAAGTTCACTAAAAAATGGCTCACAACTCACTCAAAGCTTTAGGGTTTCGTGGATTAGGGTTTGGGACTTGGAGGTTGGAAATGAGGCCAGCAAGTGGGGATTAAGATGCATAAATAAGGTGCAAAACCCCGAAAATTAGGGTTTCATTCTGGCAGACCTACTCGCCGAGTCGAGGCTCTCAACTCATCGAGTAGGTGGCTTAAGATCCCGCGTCCAATCTCATTTCTACTCGACGAGTCTGGGGCTCCCAACTCGTTGAGTAGCTCTTCAAAAATCAATAAATTATAATTAAATGCGTACCAGGAATCAGGCGTTACAAAATGTGTTGAGGGGGGTGACTGAGACGTTGATGCAAAAAATATGATCCAAGGGATACTAGAGCTTAAGGAGTGATGAGATATAGATAGCTTGTGTTATCACATTTAAGGAGAGTTTGATGAGTCCGCCAATCTTTCGTTAAAAAACCAGATTTGTTCAAAATTCAGTAGTACATTTACTATCACGAGTAAATCGAAAGACACAAATAAGGCTTTTTTGAATAAACCGAGGCAATATGATAGCATGATTAAGGGAAATCATATGGTAGGGGTTAGGATACTAAATGCTGGTATGTCATGCTTTAGTTATAGGAATTTTAGATCCATCATCGACTAATATTGAAAACGAAATGTTGTTATTGCTAATAGAATTGAGAATATGTTTATTGGCATGAGGTTGGATGTGGCTTTGGAGTCCATATATCATCATGTATTGCCTAGGTCCATTAATGACGTAATATTCAACATTTAAGGGAGAGTTATCACTTGGTATTACAAGACAGATCTGAACCCTTAAAACATGTCCATGGGGAGACATACCAAGGGGTTGTTAAAAATGGCCTAAGATGATGGGTTGTTGCCTCACGATCTAGAAAATGAATGGGCCGGGGCGGCACACTGGATGTTGTTAGGTTGAACGACGTACTAGTGATACCAGTAAGGGGTTGTTGGCAGCGAGCCTGATAAAGTTGGGCTAGTCCAATGAGACATAAGGCATTCAAAAGGAGGCCTATATATCCATTTGTACCCTCACATGTATTCGACTGACGATAGTATCCGGGAAGAGAAGGAGGATAATTGGCATTTAATATGTTCCCAACCACAACCAACTCGATCATTTTGACCCCCATAATGACCTTTGTAGTTGGGCACCCCCATGATTAGAATTGCCATGGTTTGGACTGTTTGGTAGCGAGAACGGTAAGAGACAATGAGTATTCACTTTGAGATGCTTGGAATGAGCGATTTTGAACTTGGTTCATCCTTTGTCCATCTTGAAAAAAATGGGAAGAGGCGAAAAATGATGTATAAGACTAGCAACATAGTGAATTGACAGAGAGGCAATTGATGATGTGTGAAACCATTTTTTTTAAACGATGTCATCATTGTTGCCAAGGAGGTTGACAATCGATTTGATGCATGTGCAGTATTCTATGGTGGATTAATCACTAATCAAGATGTTATGTAGTTCATTGTCCAATTGAATGGCTTTGGCGTCTTTATTATCACATAATAGTGTCTCGAGATTCTTCCATGTTTGTGTAGTTGTTGCACTTTTCTCAAGATCATGTGCAACAGAGGCTGTGAAATTGTTCCATAGATCCACAATTTCATGATGGAATTAATGTGAGTACATTTAGTATTATCAGAGGTATGAGGGGATTTTTCATTTGGTTCTTCAAGATGACCACCAACTCCAAATTCGATACAATGAGTTTGGAAAAGTACCAGTGTTCTAAAAGGCGCGCCATGGCGCGTGCCAAGGCGTGAGGCATAGCTTCGCCGTTATGAAAAACTTCATAATGTTGTTGTTAGGGGTGACGCGTGGCAAGGCGTGATATGGCGTGTCATGGCGCGTTATGGTGTGTGTTTTTTCGTTTGAGACACGTTTTTTTGCTCTTTGTTAACTTTTTGTTATTAGTTATTGATATAACACTTCTAAAAAGTAGTTATATTTAATATAAATTTATATTTATGTGGTAATATAATTATAAATTAATACAAAATCGCCACCGTACATCACGTCTTGAAAAATATCATGACTCGTTAAGCTTGAGGTTTGGCATTGCCGCCACGCCACGCCTCACACCATTTAGAACCTTGAAAAGTACTCACCATGTATCATAATTAATTCAAGCAATCATAAATAATAATGAGATGAATATACGATTTGATAGGGATTTCAAGGTTGGGGGAGTTCGCCATGGTAAAGTCGATGATGAGAAGGCTTCAAAGAGGGTATTGCAAAGACGAAGGGCGCCGACAACAACTAGGGTTAAGGAGAGATGATTGAGATTTTAGAGAGAGAATAGAAGAAGGTAACTTTGCTCTGATACGGTGATACCACGATAATTATGAGTTTTCCATGAATAATCATCTCTCATTAATAATAATAAATCGAAGATTACATTGTAAAAAATGGCTATACAAACATGGGCTTAATATGGAACGAGCTATACTAACCATCAGTTTGGCTTTGGCTTAGAACTAGAAGTGTGACTGAGTCAAGCCAGCTCGTGAGATACTCACGACCGAGTCGAAAAATCCTCGAGATCAACTCGGTTTAATTCGAGCTCAAACTACTCGAGTATATTATCGAGTCGAACTCGAGTCTTGAAATACTCGGCTCGTGAAGCTCGTGAGCTTAATCGAGCTTAGCTATATTTATACTTTTACTCTTTATTTTATTCATATTTTACATAATCGAGTTGAGTCGAGTCGAATTCACGAGCTTAATCACATTTCCATTTCAGTTTAATGTAGTTATATATTTTTAATAAATATTCGAGTCGGGCTCGAGAGTGTCGATTACTTTTTCGAGCTCGATCTCGAGTTTAATATTTAGGCTCGTGTCGAGTTTCGAGCCTGAGTTTTTAGCCGAATCGAGTTTCGATCTTGACAGTAGTCGACTCAACTCGACTTGATTACACCCTACTCAGAACATATGGCCACAACTCGAGTACAAACGTCAAGAATTTTAAAAAGAATATAATTTCAATGACGTTTCTAAAACATATCGAATCAAAAATCAAGAAAACTTATTGTCTAAAGCCGATAGTTTGATTTTCTACTTTCATCGATTCACACTAAGGGGTCGTTTGATAGTTGCTGACTGAGAAAGTGCTGATTGAGAAAAGTCTGTCTGAGTAATAAATTCTGACTGACTAAGAAATCATGCTGTTTGATTATACATCTGACTGAATGTGCTGACTGATGCAAAATGACAATTTTACCCTGGTGCTCTTTATAATAATAATAATAATAATAATAATAATAATAATAATAATAATAGTAAAATTAATAATAATAATAATAATAATAATAATAATAATAATGTATACAAAACTTTCAGCATAAATGACATTAAATATACTATTTTAGAGATTAAAACACAAAAAACCCTTTAGCTTGCTGGTAAACGTCATTGTGTGTATAGGGGAGACCCGAGTTCAATTCCCGTAACCTCCCATTTCAAAGGCCCAAGGGTATTATTGGAAAGCCTTGCTTTCTTTCTCAGCCTTCTGCCAACTCCTTTCTGAGTCAGACATTTCTTACCGAGTCAGATGGCCAAAGTTGGATTACTAGGTCAGACATTTTTTACCGAGTCAGATGGCCAAAGTTGGATTATCAAACACATTTTGTTGACCGAGTCAGCCAAAAACGTCTGACTTGACTCGGTCAGACGCATATCAAACGGGGCCTAAAACTTTGGAGACCTAACAGAAAAAATGAGTAGACTCTAATCGTAATCGCAAGTGCCGTGTCAACAACATCAACCGTGGCTCGTGGTCCCTCAATTTACACCGCAAATATGACCCTAAAGTTCTTGAGGGGACGGTTTAGACACTCATAATAGACCCATCCTCAATTAACCCCTACATAACAAACTTAATTACACTTTTGCCACTCTCATTTTCCAACATGAGTTAACAGGCAAAACAAAAAGAATGTTATGAATAATCATGACTTAAAATGTTTGAACTTTCTAAACTCTTCAAGGTTTGACAATCTTAAAGTTTTTCTCCTTTTTTCTTATTTGCATTAGTTAATAATTATCTTAAGAGTATTGGAATTTTATAAACAGAAATATAGTATATTGAAAACACATCAAAAAGAAGTATGTACTTTATTACTTGATAATTGATAATTGTTCAAAACGAATAAATTGTTTGGCTTAGCTAATTTATAATTATTTAATCGACCGGTCGATTTGAAATCAAATCAAATTTAATAGCGTATATTGATCAATGTTTTAAAAATCGGTTTTTTAGTTAAGCTGATTTGATTATCAGTTTCCGGTTCCACTGCAGGTTTATCTTGGGTTCAATAATTTTTATGTATTTTCTATTTTCTTACATACATATATGTATATAAAATCAATAATTTTCCTACATATGATAATGATATGCGTCGGCCTTCAAGTTGTGTATACTCCGATTAATCTGATCGATTAAACTATCCAATTTGCTTTGGAAATGCACCGTTTTTTTAACGGGCTATATGAAATTCAGTTATTCATGTCTAATAAACTGGTTCGAACGGGTTTTTACTGGTTCTATCACACCGGTTCAACCTGTTTTTTTTTTTTTTTTTAAAACCGTCCGGTTCGATTTAGTCTAAAAATTAGTATAAACTGGTTGTTGTTGAACCGCTCTCGTCTCCGAGTCCAACTGGTTTTTAATGTTATTGATTGTATACCATCATTGATAAAGCCCATAACAAACGATGTAATTGAATATATTAAATTGGTAATAAACTATAAATAATATCTAGCGATTTCGAGATCTAACGACCAAATGAAAACTTAAAAGCGTGCCAAACTGTCACCTTCGTGTCCAAATGGACGAACGTTGGATTGGATCTTGAAATGATGCTGTCGCATCATTCATAACCACAATCTCTATTCGTACATAATTACATCACGATTCATCAAAGCTTTCATCATTCTTAATACCCACCTTTCTACCTTTTTTGATTCTTTGTACCAATTCACTATGAACGCTGTCAAGGCCGGAACCAGGCCGCCGTGGGTGGGCTTCGCAGCCGCGGTTTGGATCGGAATTTGCGCCGGCAACTCCTACTGTTTCCCTCTGTACTCTCATTCTCTCAAATCCGTGCTGGGTTTCTCTCAACAACAGCTTACGATACTTGGTGTTGCAAATGATTTTGGCGAGAACACAGGGATTCTTCCTGGCATCGCTTGTAATTATTTCCCTCCATGGGCTGTGCTTCTCGTCGGTGTTTTTTCTTCTTTCTTCGGTTATGGCGTCCTCTGGCTTGCTATCACTCGGACTATAGTCAATTTGCCTTACTGGATTGTAAGTATTTCTTCATAAAGATTCAATTTTTGTTAATTTTTTGCATACCCATGTCCATGATCGAATTTAGGACTGTTTCTTTCTGAAAAACAGTTCATGGGATTTGTTCACAAGTTAATCTTTCTCTTATTTTTAAGCTGATTCAAGTAGTGAAACCTCCACGATTTGAATTGCTAGAAACGATCCCCAAGAAGCATTTAGTTTTGAGGTTTGATTGCTATTATGCTACATGACCTTTTATATCTCGCCATTAGCTACAACTTATGGATCGAAGGTGACGCGATCGACATGATTTGCTCAAACATATCACCATTTTAGTGATCAATCAAACACATAAAGTCATGATCTTGAATAGTATAACAGTTTAGAGTTCATCAAGATCAAAAAGTTAAATCAAATACAACGACTCTGAAGTGATCTTCACCATTTAAAACCATACGGATTTCCTGTTTTCACAAGTTGCTTAAATTATAATAATCTGATTTGTTTGCAGTTATGGATAGCTCTCGTACTTGCTGCTAACAGCAGCGCATGGTTGGGAACAGCAGTGATCGTTACAAACTTGAGAAATTTCCCTCTGAGTCGGGGAACAGTCGCCGGACTTCTCAAAGGTTACATTGCTTTAAGCGCTGCGGTTTTCACAGAAGTCTGCACCATGTTGCTAAACGGATCAGCTTCAGCAATCGTTCTCGTTTTCACAATTGGGATTCCTGTTATATGTTTATCCTTGATGTATTATGTTCGACCTTGTACTCCTGCTTTTGAAGCAGACCCATCGGAAAATGGCCACTTTCTTTTCACCCAAGGCTCAAGTCTCTTACTCGCAATCTTTCTTTTAACCACAACGATGCTTAAAGGCACCTTGAACATAAGCAACACCATCTCCTACACTTTTATTGCGATTATGGTGGTTTTTTTACTCGCACCTCTTGCAATTCCGATCAAAATGACTCTGTTTCCCGCTCGCAAGAAGCTAATCCGGCCACCTGGATCTTCCGACAGTTTGGTATTAGGAGAGGGTGATTCGAAAACAGATCCATTGTTAACACTTTCATCTTCAGCAGCAAATCTTACGAGCTTCAATGATAGCGATGATGTTTCAGATGTGGATATGCTTCTTGCTGTTGGAGAAGGTGCAGTGAAGATGAAGAAAAGAAGACCCAGACGAGGGGAGGACTTCTCGTTTCGTGAAGCCATGGTGAAGGCTGATTTTTGGCTTCTATGGACTGCTTACTTTCTTGGCGTTGGCTCCGGAGTCACTGTTCTCAACAATTTGGCTCAAATTGGAGCTTCGCTTGGTGTTGATGATACAAATACACTCTTGAGTCTTTTCAGCTTTTGCAATTTCCTTGGTCGGCTTGGTGGAGGTGCTGTTTCGGAATACTTTGTAAGGTAATCTAATCTTTCTTCTTGATACTGTGTTTTGTAAATTATATTGTTACAAAATTTGGGTGTTTTGTGTAGGTTAAATGCGATCCCACGTACGTTTTGGACGATGGCAACACAAGTGATAATGGTGTTAACGTATCTTCTATATGCATCGGCTTTAAATGGAACATTATATGCTGCAACCGCGTTGCTTGGAACGTGCTATGGTGTTCAAATTGCTATAATGATCTCGACATCTTCTGAGCTTTTTGGATTGAAAAACTTTGGGTTAATATTCAACTTTATGCAGCTAGGGAACCCTCTTGGGGCACTTCTGTTTTCTGGTATGCTTGCTGGTTACATTTATGACACAGAAGAAGCTAAGCAAGGTGGGACTACGTGCATGGGCCCCGCATGTTTTCGGTTCACGTTTCTTGTTCTTGCTTGTGTTTGTGGTCTAGGGACCATCTTGAGTTTGATATTAACTATCAGGATTAGACCGGTTTACCAAATGCTCTATGCTGGTGGTTCGTTTCGTTTGCCTCAAAGTTCGAGCCATTAATGGTGATGATGATGATGATGATGATGATGGGGTTTCAACGACTTGATGATTTGTCAACAGTCAACCGAATGCTACTGTGAATTCTGTGTTTGTTGTATCTATGTTTAAGAGATTACACGAGTTGTTCTCTTCGAAAGATTGTGAACACTACATATGTTCAGTCGACGCCTATGATGTAAAAATCGGTCCTTTTTCCATGATTTTTTTGTATGAAAAACGTTCTTGAATCAATGCATATCATAGTGTTACGCAGTGTTTACTATGTTATGTGAGGTGCATTGAACTTTTGGTGACTTGGAGTTGGATGTATAAGCTATCACGCATGGCATTATGTTTACATTGTTGTCTTGTTGTCATTGAGCTTTATTGATGATTTTTAATAGCATGGTTGTTATTTAAATGATTCTTTCCTAAATAGTGAACTTCTACTTATCTTGTTGAGTTGGTGTGGAGTGATTTTTCAAGTTTTAAATCACTTAAACAAGTTTAACCTCAAATGATGCTTGTCATGTCTCCAAGCCCAACTAATGCATTTTCACATGTGTCCATATTAGGTGCCTTAATTGGTGAACTCTTCCCGGAAAAAGCATAAAGGCATGCAAAATACTTTCTATTGTGTTGTATAAGGAATGTAAGTGCATCTAGTGGTATGGAGCAAATAGCAATTTTAAACAATTTTAACAAAAAAAAGTTTATAAAGATAATACATTACTTTGATTTATATAACAATAAAATACAAAGTGACTTAAGAATACAATATGTTTTTCCAATAACAATTATAAAGATACAACAATATGCAAATACAGAATGTATAAAATTTAAGGTACAAAGATGAAAACAAAGTATACATAGTGGTTGGTATTCTCTTTGTATCCACTATCCACCAAATACACCACTCATGGTTAATCCACTAATATAACTTAAGACTTTTAGGTAATGTAATAAACATTGTTCAAGATTTGTCTATCTTGGACATTCAAACTTTTTGGAAAAGTAGAATGGATCAGTCTCACAATAATTAGGCTCGGTCCTTACATTCCGAATAAATTATGCGAAAATCAAAGTGAGGTCCATAACAAGTTTATTGTAAAATATTATTAAGTAAATTTGGTACTGTTAATTTCAAAACCTAAAATTGGTAATAAACATTTCGTAAATTCCCTACAGTAATTTTCTACAGTAATTTTCTAAAAAAAAGAGAGAAAGTCAACTTATTATAATTTTCTAAACATTGATTTTCTAGCATTTTAGAAGCAAATTTATCTATTATACTTTTGATAATCAATATGTTCAAAAAATTCGTTCTCAATCAAAATAAAAGTTAAAGCATTTGATCTCTCTTCAGGTATCGTCGAGAGCATATAAGACTTAAAAGCTTAAGTTGTCAAAAGCTTATTTTTGCTGATGCAATTGTAATAAGAACAATCATTAATAGTCTATATGTAGACAATAAATTGGATAAGTGCTACTATTTAAAAAAAAATAGTATTGTGTTTGTTGTGTTATGTTCAATCGGTAAATATTTTTGCAACAATTTCAATTCGTTGAATAAATCATCAACATCGATGTTTGTGATATAGCCATTTTGCAACCTATTTTCAGAATATTTTGCAACTTGCGTTTAACTCATAAATTTTCAGTGACTTCAACTTTTCTTTTGTGAATAAAAACCATAAGTATCTCATATTGGTTGTATTACTCAAATATTCGCTCCAATTAACCAATAGCTTGATGAAATATGGATACAAAAAATCATGTACACAAAATATTGAATCCTTACCATATTTGTATTGTCTTTGGATATAGATAACTTCAATAAATTATTGGTAGATTTTAGAATTTATGATTAAATTTTGATTTTTTTGATTTTCTTTAATTTTTTTTTCATAATTCAAATGATTTCAAGATTGCAACCAAATGCTACAGTGTGCATATAAGAAACTAACAGCCAATTTTATTTAATGATAACTCATAAACATTTATTTTACAAATATATCAACACCATAATTATATATTTGTCACAAAATTTGGAGGCCCCCTAAATCAGAGGCTCAGTGCGACTGCACCTCCCGCACACCCCTGGGTCGCCACCGATGGGTTGCCACAGACAGTATTAAGCTGGAGGGAGTGGTGCCACAAAAGTTGCACTCCTTCATTGCCACTTAGGCGCCACCTCACTCTTTACCACAAAAGTGGTTTCATACAACATCCAAGGAGTGGTGCCACACTTGGGTATTTTTTTTATTTTTGTTTTAATAAATAAAAAAGACCAATCAGATGGAGGTAAGAAAAAGTAACCAATCACATTGTTTGAAGGAGTGCTCCCTTGGAATGCAGCACTGCACCCCTACCGCACCTCTACCGCACCCAGGGGCGGTGTTCCTGCTGATGTGGCACTCAAGTGCGGCAAGGGCCACAACCCTCTCCCTCTAGTCTTAATCAAACACTTATACAATATGATAATTTTGAATATAGTCACATAAAACTAAGATATAGATCGAAGCAAGTAAGGATACTTAATAATTGAAAAGTCCAGTAAGATATCGATCTTGAAATACTTAAGGCTATCTCCATTAGCAATCCAACCCAATCTATTTATCCTATAAAAAAACTAATTTCTTTCTCTTTCATATATACAACTCAATCCAATCCAATTATTCACACTCATTAACAACCCAACCCAACCCAACTTTATTTTATACTAGAAATATATATAAAATCGATATTTGTTTTATTTTGTAGAGAAAAATAAATTATATATTTTGGGATACTTTGTTTGAGTTTTACCAAATATTAAATATAGTTATTAACTTAAATAGTTTTAAATATAAAAATAACTTTAAATGCACCTATCAAAAAAGAACACATGGCAATATGAAAAGGTGAAAAGGCTCGAGCCTTCTGAGCAGCCTAGGCCACCAAGTTTGTTTTATTTTTATTTTTATTTTTTTAATATTTTTTGGAGAGCCAATCACCAATGGGAAGAAGAACACTTAAGATTAAGAAATTACGTCTCAAAAATATAGCTTGTAATCCTTTTTTTTTATATAATAAAAATAAACTAAACAACCTCTATGTTTCCTTCACTCTCATTCATTCTTTTCACTTGTATAAAAAAATATGTTATCGACTCCTTTTCAAAATGAAAAGGGACAATAACCTGAAATACTTTTTTTTTTTGGTTTGGCGATGGAGTACAAAAGAGAGAGTTAGCATCAATCTATGTTTCTTTTACTTGATGTTATAACCAAAACCGTACAAAGTACAAACCTTTAAATGCTTTGGAAGAAAATTTGGAGTTAAAAACATGTGTTTGGTTCTTTTGCGCCAACCGCTCACCAAACAAAAAAAGTTTGCCTGGTGCTGTTTCAAGAAATTTTAACCAAACTGATAAATATAAAGCCGTTCAAAAAATATTAATATAAAATAAGTAATCAGGAAGTTGTATATCGATGGTAAAAAACTTATCATTTCAATATTAATATAAAATAAGTAATCACAAAGTTATAGTAGATTGGTGGTAAAACTATATTATAACTAAAAATTGTTGGCCTTACTTCATCGTGGTGTGAACTTTGACACAATATCCTGTGGACATTGTAATAGAGAAAACGAGTGTGCTGATCACATCTTGACTAGATGTAGTTTGGTGAATACCACACGAGAATGGATTTTTAAGTGGTGTAACATTGGAAATATGTCATTCAACAATGTTAGTGAATTGCTCAAATTCACCGCTACCTGGGGGAGATGTCTAAAGAAAAGGAAGTTGTTGAGTGTAATCTGCTATGGGATGTTATGGCTGACTTGAAAAACGAGGAATGATCGGATGTTTAAACAACGCACTACATCCCCTACTTTGGTTGATCGGATGTTTAAACAACGCACTACATCCCCTACTTTGGTGGCAAATAATATTATGTCTTTGGTATTTGTGTGGTTAAAACATAGATAGGGGGAGGGTAAAAAGGAATTAAATGGGTGGAGTGGAGCATCTTCCCTTTCTATGTCTGTAAATGTTCTTTTCTTAATTCTTGTACTGTTACTCTCGTGTTTCGTGCCGGCTAACTTCTTGCTAATCTTGGCATTTTTTATAAACATATTTGTCGTTTTAAAAAAAAAACTAAAAATTATTTTTATTTTATCGTTTCATTGCTTTTAACTTTTATGTGAATTAGTCTCCAATAGTTAACATCTTTACATAATTATTTATTTATTTTAACTGATTTATCTTTATTTATTTAAAATATTGGGAAAACTTCCTTATGTTTTGTTCTCATAATTGAATAAAACCTTAAATTTTTGTTCTTGCAATTAAGCCCAAAAAATTAGCAATTGTTTACAGTTAAATTCCCAAATCCGAGAATTGTTTACAATTAAGTCCAAAAAATTGACATTTGTTTACAATTTTGGGTTTTTATCCCGATAATCGGTTACCAACCGAGTACTAGTGTTTTTCCACAAATGTAATCAAAATTTAAGTTAGTACAAAAAAATATGTACTTAGGTACTCTAATATAAAATATTAAAAAATAGTTTGTCTAAACCCCTAAACATTGCTCATATATGTGAAAAAACATGAAATATTCGGTTGGTGACTGGTTTACCGAGATAAAACCTAAAAATTATTAGTTTACCGGAGTAAAAACCTCATGTTGTCGATTTTTGGGACTTAATTGTAAACCGTTGTCATTATTTTGGGCTTAATTGTAAGAAAACTATATAATAAATTAATCAGTTATGATGTCAAAATGAAGTTTTTCCTAAAATGTTCTATAAAATCCTCTCATTTATATGGAAAACAAACAACTCTTCAATGATATATATGGAATATTAGTGGTAAATAAGTAATTAGACTTTATCCTCTAATAAGGAGTTTAAATAAGTAAGAAGAAACCGACCTATTGAAAAATTCCTTATTTTACCTAAGAACAAATTACTGAAATCGTCCCTGTGGTTTAGTTAAAATTGCGTGTTTGGTCCTAACTTTTATTTTGTACTCGGACCGTCCTTACTGTTTGATTTTGTTGCATTGTTGGTCCCTCG